GTAAACAGCAATGTGATATAAACAGGAAACAGTGGTTCACATTCAAGAAAAATAAGGAGAGACAACTGGTCACTGCAGATGAAGAGGCTCTGCAGTCTTCATCACTTTATCAGGTGTGTGAGAGAGTAAAGCGAAACAGATGTCTTAAGAATACATATATGGCCAGGTAGGTGTAAGGAAAGGAAGGAAATGCTTTATTCTGTGGGCCCTGCTGGGCACCCTCAGAGTGCTTGAGACACTTAATCTTTGGGTCATGGGTTTGTCTCCTTATTGGGCACAGATCAGACTGATGTAGTGGAAAAAGATAGTCACTGGCCCAGAAGTCAGGGGATACAACTAATCTTAGCTTGGCCACCACACAGCGCATTCTAAAACTAAATACCAGCAGTGCTCTGGAATTGGAACTGGTGGTGTAGCAGAGGCCAAGCAGCTCCATTAAGATGCCCTTAAGTGAGAGCCGCTGCACATGTAAGTGACCCAGTACCAACTTTCAGAGAAGGCCAGGTAAGTACTTGGCCAGACTTTATCTGAGCTGTGCCTAAGTCACACTGGAACTCTAGGGCCTCTCCAGTGGGATTCTACTTTCCTCTTTAGATTTCTAATGACCCTCAATGATCTGGTTTTTAATGTTACTAATGGAGCTTAAACTCAGGGCTTGGGTGCTGATTTGTAGCTTTTTGCTCAAGGCGATATTCTACCACTTAATTCACAGCTTCACTTATGGATTTTGGTGGTTAATTGGAGATAAGAATTTCAAGGGCTTTCTTAATCTAGGCTGGCTTCAAACCATGATTCTCAGATCTCAGCCACTTGAGTTGCTAGGATTACAGTCATGAGTCACTGATGCCCAGAATACTTTTAAAAAGGTGGAAACTCTGTTAAAAGATCCATGTAGTAATAACCAAACAATTATAGTACATGCAACATTCATAGCCATAATGGTAACGCAGCCATAAGCAATCCTAGCACATCACACACATGTGCCACCCAGCCACCCAAACATAGAGTAGATAAGCTAATTTACAAGCTGCTTATAGTCCCTGGGACAACCTGAAAAGCTCCACCTCAGCAAGCAGCTATAGCTTTGACTATCTTCTCTTAAACATGAACTAGGGGAAGAAGATGCTTAACTTCTTGAAGTAAAAAGAGAACAGAGTCATTCTAGTAGAGTAGTGATAGCTAAAACTAGGAAAATGTGCTAATGCAATTCACTACAATAAAACCTTGTAGGAGAATCAAGAATCTGATGATTGTTATAAATGTAGAAGAAGCATTTGATAAAATTCAAACACCCCAATCTACACAGATGATGAAAATAGATAGAACTTTATACATACACACATTAGTGTAAGTAAAAAAAATCTGAATATACACTCAGGGTAATCAAGGGACCTGTTTTTTATCTTAAAACGGATATAAATCTTCAAAATCTCAATAAAAAATTCCTTTCTTTTGAAGTGAGAGGGCAGACTGAGAAAGACAGAAGATGAATTTCTTACTAAGATAAATCTGGCATCAACACATCAAAATGTAAAAGAAAAATACAGAAAATATTTTTTACTAAAAAGAAAGCATCGTCATACAATCATTCCAGTGCTTCAATATAGCCTGTATAATATCATTAATGTGATGTTTTTTTGCATTTTAAGAAGTTTTTAACCTCGCCAAAGACATGCTAATATAAATATTGTACCAACATATATGAATAGAATGAAGACTAGCATACAATTTATAATACCTAAAATATTTAAAAGCACGTAATTATATGTTATATAATCCTTAATGTTTGAAGTGCTAGTTTTATTTCTGTTATCCTAATGAAAGTTACATAAAGAGTTTCACGAAGGAAGAATAAAAGGAGCTTTCACAATCTATCAAATCCTCTTAACCCTACAGTAAAATCATGATCAAGTTGTAATATATAGCTACAAAATCTGATTTTAGGGACGGCCATGATCACTACAGACATTTAATATCATATTAGGATCCTAGCCAGTGCCACTAAAAGTTCTAATTAGTTATGCTTGATTTTAATTCAGTATGCTTAATTTAATATAAGCATACTTACAAGTAGAAGCATTTTTTTGGGGGGCGGGGATCTGGTCATGGAGCCTAAACTCTGGGCCTGGGCGTTGTCCCTCAGCTCTTCAGCTCAAGACTAGCACTCTACTACTTGAACCACAGCACCACTTGCGGCTTTTTTTTTCTTTTTGCTTATGTGGTGCTGAGGAATCAAACCCAGGGCCTCAGGCATACAAGGCAAGCACTCTACCACTGAGTTACCTTCCCAGCCCACAAGTAGAAGCATTTAAAAGAAACAAAACTTTTACTACTCACGGGTCATGTGATGGTTTGGAAAATGCACTGTACTTTCTAGAACTAGGGAGTCTACCAAAGTTGCTGGAAGTAAGAGAGAGTTAGAAGCTGCAAAGCCCATGCTGGGCTCGGTGAACCAGACTGCCAAGTGAACAGACCAGACCAATGGCCCAGGAGTACAGAGAATAGAAATAAAAAAAGAGAAAAACCTGGAAAAGATCTAAGCTTCAATCAAGCCTACAGACTCTTGTAAAGTATTTCCCACTGCACCAGACCAAAGACTGAGACTCATGAAGGCCTAAATCTCTGGCTTGGGTAGCAACCCACCACTCACCATGACCACCTATTCAAATGAACGTGGTAAATAAGCATCTGCATCTGGCACTCAATAGACCCACAACTAAAACACTCATAAAAAGGAAAATGAATGCGTCTTCAGAAAACAGACGTTCTGGAAAAAGTTATTCTAATTAGGCTGCTGCAGAAGTCCTCATTTTTTATAATTAAAAACACAGTGTCCAATCCAATTAACAACTCATCACACACAGCTTCTGGGCTTTGGAACAAGGGCTCAAAATGTTGAAAGTGTCAGATCCACCCTGGATTTCAAAGACTTTTCACAATCAAAGGAAGATCAAATCTCACTAATAATTTTTACATTGTAAATGTTAAAATGATAACACTTCACTTTAAAATATATTTAGTATTTAATTTGATTATTTACGGAATTTACTATGTTGTTAAATTCATTTCACCTGAGGTTTTTTTTTCCCTTTCATTTTTCTGTGTGTATAACAGTCCTGGGGCTTGAACTCAGGGCCTATGTGCTATATATCAATCTTGGGGCTGTAAGTCATGGCTTGGGTGCTATCCCTGAGCTTATTTGTGCTCAAGTCTAGTGCTGTACCACTCAGCTACAGTTCCACTTCCAGCTTATTTTTAATGCATAATTGGACATAAGACTCTTGTAGACTTTACTGTCCAGCCAGGCTTTGAATCATGATCCTCAGCTCTCAGCCTCCTAAGTAGCTAAGATTACAGGTATGAGTTAAAGCACCTGACTCCTCTTGCTTTTTTTAAGGCTATGCTCATTTGACACAAAGTCAAAAGTTATTTTAAATGATATGCATAAGATGATTTCTGTAGCCTTTAAAATATAATCTTTTGTAGATTACTTGATAGTAAATTCCTGCAAGGCCATATGGAATCTTATACAAGACAGACCCTTTTATTAAGCTTCAATTTTTTTGACAGGAATAGTTTTAAAAAGCATCAGACAAGCTGGGTGCCAGTGGCTAGGATTATAAGCATAATGAGATTTTAATCTTCAATTTGCATGAAAAAACTGGAAGTGGAGGTGTATTGCTCAAATGGTAGAGTGCCAGCCTTGAGTGAAAAAGCTAAGAAACAGTGTCTTAGGCACTAAGTTCAAGCTCTAGTGCTAGTACACACACACACACACACACACACACACACACACACACACACCACACATACACACATTTGTCAGATAAATTATTAGTAACCCTCCCAACAGAGAGTCACTTGGATCAGGAAAATTTTCAGAGATCACCCAGGTCAAAAGTGTTAGATCCAGAATCTGTTGACAGGTCTGTCAGGAGCTAATGGCAGCACGCTGCAAGACTTTGATAATGATCATGGATGAGGTCCTGTCTGGAAGTGACGATCTCTTTGGAAGTTGGTCACTATCCAGCTTGTGCAGGGTCTGTCCAAGCTATCCACATATCATTAAGAAGGCTCTCTCTATGATTTGGACAGTGTAAACAGTTTTGAAAACAAGCACACCTACCCCGCTAGCTTTCAGGACCCACTGCTTATTCCACTCTGAAAGAGAGTTGAGACTCTGTGAACGCAGCAGATACATAGCAAAACGGACCAGAGACTGGCCAAACAAGGGTGCCTGGGAATGCGGAGGGGTCAGTCAACTCTCTGAGTTCCATCTCTTAGATGAGGTCCCTGGCTTAACTCTTAACCTAGGTTAAGCCTCTGACTCTAGTGAACTCTCAGAAATACATTAAAAACAACAGCACTATTCAAGCGGGAGCAAGAATAATGTCTGCAAAAGAGAGAAGGAGGGAGAGAGGGGGAAGAGAGGAAGAGGGAAAGAGAAAGAGAGAGAGAGAAGGAGAGAGAGAGAGAGAGAGAGAGAGAGAGAGAGAGAGAAGCTACCTGGTCAGGAAGCAGAGACAGACTGTCAAAGAACAGACTTTCTAAAACCCCAAATATCTTCTACCGCCAGGCTTTGGAAAATTAGAACAACAAAATTTGGGTACTTCTTCAACCAGCACCCTTAAAACTACGCCCCCTCCACCCTGCTCCATAGCCATGAGGAAATCTAGAGACATTATGCTCAGCAGTGCAGATCCCCACAAAACGGTGATTTTCCCCCTGTAGCTGTTGAAAATAAAAGTGTAGGAGAAGGCAGGGGATGATAGAATGTCAGGGTCAGGAAGAAGGAAAAGTGACCAGGAAATACATACACACACACACACACATACACAGAGAGAGAGAGAGAGAGAGAGAGAGAGAGAAGGCACCAGTGACATTCAGGCCTGAATTTGGAAGTTTTGAATGGTTCAGAATGGGACACTTTGTCACCTCTGATTTAATTACAAGACTGTTTTCAGGATGCTGAAGGGCTAGACTCATAATCACGCACTTACGTAATCCTCCTCATTGAGTCCTTGTTTCTCAACAGAACTTTTCACCTCCATGGAAAACTTCTCAAACTCAGGTTTCACGGTCCTCAGTAGGGTGACTGTTTGGAGGGATGAGTACGCTTGCTTAGCTTCAAAGTCGTGTTTGTCTCCTCTCTTCCATGAGCCATCTCCTACGGGAGAAATGAAAATATTTATAATTCCAAGCTGGTTACCATAAAGAGGCCATTCTCTCTTTTTCAACTGCAATGTGTCTCTCTACATGGTACTTTTGGCAGCCAGCACGAGAGGTATTGTCATAGTTTTGTACTTGGGTATAATATGACCATGTCAGGATCATTAAAAGAGAACAAGGCTCTTTGGACACATGCTCCTTTGAAATGTGAGAAGGAAAGAAAAGCTTTGATGATGTAATTGCCTTCTAATAACCATGTCACTGCAATTTTCAACCCCCAGAATGGCAACTCTGCAGGAGTAAGAAGTAAGCTTTATCACTTTCCATTCATACTTATTTTTAATACCTATAATCCACTCTGAAGGGGCCCAAGTTCTTAATGTGATCTAACAGGTCTGATGTTACGTAGATGAGGAAGACAAGTCGCAGCCAGGCATGACAGTGGAAATGCATGCAAATTTTAAAGTTGGCACTTGTAGAAGACAAAGTTTGAGATTATTAGCCAGTTGCTAGTGGCTATGGATGTAATTTCAAGCACTTAGAAGGATGCGATCTCAGGGTAGAGGTCTAAAACCAGCCCAGGCAGAAATGTCACTGAATCTCTTTTTATTGCCAATTAATAAGAGAAAAGCTATCAGTAGAGATGTGGCTCAAGTGGTAGAGTATCAGTCTTGAGCAAAAATTCCATGTGGGAATCTGAGGCCCTGAGTTCAACCCCAGTACTGGCAAAAAAAAAAAAATTACATTAAATTAAAACAGAAAGAAAAGCCGGGCGCCAGTGGCTCACACCCATCATCCTAGCTACTCAGGAGGCTGAAATCTGAGGAAGTAGCACTGTGGCTCAAGTGGTAGAGTGCTCACCTGGAGCTGAAGAGCTGAGGGACAGTGCCCAGGCCCAGAGTTCAAGCCTCACAACTGACAAAAAAAAAAAAGAAAGAAAAGAGAAGACAAAAAGAAAAATGGAGTGGAGAAGGGGGAGGAAGTACACAAGAATCCAGTGAAATCCTCCAAAATTAAGAAGAGTAAGATGAAGGAGGGGGGAGGGGAGGGATGGGTGAGAACGTTGAAATGGGTGACGGTGGTCAGGATATACTGTAATCATAAATTACTGTGTTAAATGGCAACTCCTTTGTACACTACTTAAAGATAATAATTTTGTCTTTTAAAAGTTCGAGATTATCGGTATTTCTTGCATTTCTCCAGGTGAAAAGGACCTTCAATGTACTTGAAGGTTTGTATCTCTGTAGGGCTGGCCATATCATTAAAATTATTTATTGGCCAAAGATCAACAATTTGTTGAAGGTAATAAGTAAATATACTGATTGCATATATAATAATAGCTCCATGTATTGAGTGCCACCTATATACAAGCTCATTGAATCCTTACAAGACACTGTACAAAGGCTACTTTCTATTTTGCAGATGAGGAAACTGAAGCACTGAGATGCTGGGCATATTTCCTACTTTGCAGTTATCCAGTTCACAACAGCAAAGGCACATCACAGGGACAGGCCCATTGCCCTGCCTTTTATCTCATTTTTGAGAAAACATGTGACCTCTAGGACTACAAAAGCCAAGGTAGACCTTTAGCTATTTAATAAGATGTGTGTTTATTTTACTTATGAATGATAGAAATCCCTGAAGACAGTAGAAGGAACACAGGCTGCTGGCATCCAACACAAGTCATTTATGCATCCTGAGCTCCCAGTCTGGATAAGATGCTTGGTTAAGCCAGAAGCCCAAACACTAAGGCACGAGGATGTCTCTGGACCTGCAGTCAAGTCTGTGGCACTCCCTCTACTCTTCTAGAAGACGAATAGAAATTTAGTGGCTCTTGGACATTTATCCAGAGATTACAAGTCAGGATATAGCAAACTCACTGGGCAATCATGTTCACTACTGCACTGTTCACCATGGAAAAGTTATGGAAACAACCCAGATGCTCTTCAATGACAAATGGATCAAGAAAGATATGATGCAAACATATTTACATCCATCCATCCATATATACATACATATATACATACATACATAATGGGATTTTATTCATCTATTAGGAAAACATATCATTTGCAGAAAAATCAATGAAAAATGATGTTAAATGAAGTAAGTTAAGCTCAGAGAGACAAAGGACTCATGCTTTCTCTCATATGTAGAAGTTAGATCTAAAGTATAAATACATATTTAAGTACATACAGGGTCGTGTGCATCTGTACACAAAAGTATTAACTAAAATATAGTATATTCAGGGAAGATTCCAATGGTATAACCCCTTTGAACAAGAAACTTACAATTTAACAAAATCAAAGCTAGTGGAACTTATGTCAGGGGTGGTGATTCGTGAGGGTAGACAAATGGGTAGACAGGCAAGGCAAATGCACTCATTACATTACATGGAACTAGGAATATTAAGGAGATGGCTGAGGTTGGGAGGGACAAAGGGGAAAATTATGAAAGGGGTGATGAGCAAGACACATTGTATTCATAAACTGACAAATTGAAACACCTTGGCACAACTAAGGATATTGATAATTAATAATAATACCACCTATGGATCTGGAGTTTCTATCATAGCGCAAGTCAGAAAAGAGGTTTATGTTATATACAAGGTAGCTATGATGTCCTGAATAATTTCCATCAAATTTGAGAAATGTAGTGTCAGACATAGAACCAAGTGGAGTTGCTGTAGAGAAAGGGTAACAGTGTACCATGGGGATGGGAGAGAGAGAGAGAGGATGCAGAGAAAGAAGCAGTGAGCTCCAAGCAGGGCACAGGCCTCATGCAAAGACAAAGCTTTGGCCTAGCCTAAATGTGTGAATAGGATTTTAACAGGAGGAGAAGAAGGTGGAAAGGCATGCCTGGCAGTGCCCACACGTGGGCAAAGGTGCAAATGTGTATGACATCCAGCGGGCAGCTGGGAGTCTCAGTCTGGAGCAAGAAAAAGGCAGCGACAAAGAATGTGTTTGTGGAGGCATCTGTATCATCATAAGCCTAATAATAGCAGCCATTTATTAATTGCTTACTATGTGCCAGGGAGCTGTTAAAAGATAAATGAGAGCTGAGGACAGAATTCATTAAGGACTAGATCCATGCTCAATGAGCACAAGATTAAATTTCAAGCCATCAAACAAAACTTGACCAAGTTTTCTTGCTTTCCTGTGAAGCTTCCCAACCTTTGAGGCAGCCATAGCCCAAGCAAAGCCCACGCCTGTATTCAGGGAGTCAGTGTGCTGGGCTCTTTATAGTCATGGACACACCACCACAGGGAATCTGAACCCACTGGTTAGTTAAGCCCCCAAGGTCTAAGAATGCCCCCAACTTTTCTTCCCATGGAGGAACTCATTTCCTATTGGTTTTCATTTTGACTCAAAGTGCCAAGACTCTTTGAGAGCAGAAGAGACCACAGGGCATGTAGCTCAGAGGTAAAGCACTAGTCTGGCATTCTTGAGGCCCCGAACTTGATCCCCAGCACAGAATTTATTAATTAAGTTAATAAATACTCATCAGAAGGGATGCTTCTTAAGCAAAAAAGAGTGAGAGGTTTTCAGCACCAGAAAAAGACTTCCCTCCAGAAGTTGAGAAATATCTAAACTTGCAAGATTTTATGTATAGAATTAGAAAATACACAGAGAACTGGACAAAACAACGATCTCAGTTACTGAAATCAGAAAAAAAAAAACCACAACAGTTTTTTTTTAAGGAAGTGAAATCTTAGCCAATAAATCTGTTTCTCCAGGTAATCATTTGGAGTTGTGTTTTTCAGAAGAGAGAATGGAAACAATAGTAGTTTCATAAATCTAAGCCAAGCTAAACAGGTGTCTTGTCTGCTTACAAGTACAACTGCCTTCTGTGGGCATCTCTTAACTGGGGATGTGCCATGACATCTCTTGTGTTGGGAATGTTTGACACGGAAAGCAAAGGTCGGCCTGGCATGACATCCCATGAGGAGACGAATTTAAATTCAGTAGACAACTGGGTGCCTCTGGAGATTTATGGGCGGAACAGAAGAGTGACAGGATGAGAATCTTGCCTTTGGAAAGGGCAGTGGATTAGAGTGGAGAGACGCTGAGCATTCACAGCCACAATAATCCAGGCAGGAGGTTGTCAGGGGTCATACATGGAGGTCACACTCCAAAAAATTCAGAAACGGTTCCCTGGGTGACACGTAAGTTTTCTGCCCCTCCTCTCATATCTCTCTCCTTTCCTTCCTTCCTTCCTTCTTTCCTTCCTTCCTTCCTTCCTTGCTTGCTTGCTTCTTTCCTTCCTCCCTCCCTCCCTCCTTTCCTTCCTCTCTTCTCTCCTTCCTCCCACCCTTCCTTCCTTCCTTCCTTCCTTCCTTCCTTCCTTCCTTCCTTCCTTCCTTCCTTCCTTCCTTCCTTCCTTCCTTTCTTCTTCTGTCCTTATTTCTTCCTATGGCTACAGTAATTTTCAATAATAACAATAACTTTCTACATTCATAATCATTAAGATTTAGCACCCTTGAGAGAGAACTTGCAAGAGGACTCTCAAGACTCTTTGTCAGTGAGGGTGGAGTGGTTAACGATAAGGTGGAGCATCACCTTAGAAACAGCAAAACTGAGCAGAGGAAGGGGATTAGGTGGATGAGGCAATGAAAACTTCAGTGAAGGTCACAAACTTCAGTAATGGTCATATGAAATTCAAGATGATTACAAAATGTCCAAGTGGCATCATCAGGCTGGAGTTGAAAACAGAGGTCTGACACCAGAAAAAGGAGCGAAGGCCAGACAGAATACTGGGTACCATTTCCACACAGCTCACTGTTATAGTGCAGGGACTGCCTACTCTGGATGGAAAAGAATGCAGGAAGAGAAGAGAAGGAGCAGAGCTGGGCACAGAGACTGTTTTCTTAGTGGTCAAAAAAAGTAAGGGGGGGCAGAGAGGAGTTAACACAGAACCCAGAGAACTCTGTGTCATGAGGGTAGGAGCACAGGGCTTCTAGGAAGAGGTGAATGAGAAAAGGGCTCCCTTCCCACATCC